TATCAAATCACGTCCGATTGACTTCAAATTTTGCACACAAGTCCAAAATAATATAACGAAGCTACAGAAATTCTTGGAATTCCATTCCGACCGTCGGATCAAAATTTCACCGATCAACCGGAAATCGCCAAAATACTAACTTCGCCAAAATGAGCTAATTTCTTCACCGGACCTCCAAAATTAATTCCGATTGCGCTCCTAGGCCTTAAATCATCCCCCAAAACTAACCGAATTATCGGAATTCAATTCCGAGCCCTCTAACTCACAAGTCAACGTCCGGTTGACTTTTCCAAACTAATTCTTCCTTAAAGAGACTAATTGTCCCATTTCATACCAAACTCAATCCGAATTGACTCAAATTCACCAAGTACACATATTGAAACATGAATAAGCATTTAACGGGGAATACGGGACGAAAATACAGGAAACGACGGTTCGGGTCGTTACATCCTACTTCCACACTTGTTCCCTCATCTCCTACTCATCCTAATACCTCTTCTCCTCTTGACATAGATACTGCAGTTTCTCCTTCCTCTGCAGTCCCTCATTCTGACTCTGATTCTTCTTCTTTCAATCCTGATGCTGCCATTCCTTCACCATACTCTAAAGTTGTAATAAAGTTGCTGTGAATAAAATGGACATTGTTTGGCATTGTAGACTTGCTCATGTCCCTTTTATTAGAATGAAAACTATTTCTAAAGTATCTTATGATATTTCTTTCACACAGTCTTTTCCATGTAATATTTGTCCAATGGCTAGACAAACTAGATTGCCTTTTCCTGATAGCTCAATTCATAGCTCTAAGCCTTTCCAAATTATCCATGTTGACACTTGGGGACCATATCACACATATGCTTACTCAGGTTCTAAATACTTCCTTACTATTGTTGATGATTTCACTAGAAGCACTTGGACTCACTTAATGGGCTCCAAGAGCAATGCTTTCCCTCTTCTTAAGGCTTTTGTTGCAATGTTAAAGACACAACTTCTTGTGACTATTCAGTGTATAAGGTCTGACAATGCTTTAGTGTTAGGAGCTACTAATGTTGTTGTTTCCTTCTTATCTTAACATGGTATAATTTATCAAACCAGCTATCCTCACACACCCCAACAAAATGGTGCAGTAGAAAGGAAGCATAGAACCCTTCTTGAAGCTTCTAGAGCTTTGCTTTTTCAGTCTCAAGTTCCAATCAGATTCTGGGGAGACTGTCTCCTCACGTCCATTTATATCATAAATAGACCTCCCTTTAGATTGCTTCTTAATAAGTCTCCTTATGAGTTGTTATTTTGAAAAAGGCCAAATTATTCTCACTTAAGAACTTTTGGTTGTCTTTGTTTTGCCACTATTCCAATTTCTTAAAGAGATAAATTGAAATCTAGAGTTAATCCTTGTATATTCCTTGGCTATCCCTTTGCAAAGAAGGGCTATAAGTTGTATAATTTGCAATCTAAACAGTGTTTCATATCCAGAGATGTGGTTTTTCATGAGCAGCATTTTCCTTTTTCCTCATATTTCTCCTTTCCTGTTAAGTCTGAGTCCCAATTGTCGGCTGTTCCTTTACCTTTTTTTCCCCATGATTGTCCTATGCCTTCTCCTTCCCCTGAAGTTGCTACCTCACCCCTTGCCCCTCCTGGTCCTACTTCCACACTTGTTCCCTCATCTCCTACTCCTCCTAGTACCTCTTCTCCTCCTGACATAGATGTTGCAGTTTCTCCTTCAACTGCAGTCCCTCATTCTACCCCTGATTCTTCTTCTTTCAATCCTGATGATACCATTCCTGCACCATAATCTATTTCCCTTAGAAAATTTGATAGATCTCATACTCATCCTTCTTACTTAAGGGATTACATTACAAGCTGCCCACTTCCCTTTTTTGTTCCTCTTCTTAGCTAGTAGAATTTGAACCATATACATATTCCCAGGCAGCCCCTATCCCAGCTTGGCAAGATGTAATGAGAAAAGAGTTCGAGGCTTTAGAAACAAATCACACTTAGTATATTATTAAGCTTCCCAAGTTTAAGAAGCCTATTGGTTACAAGTGGGTATATAAGATCAAATACAAAGCTAATGGTGAGGTTGAAAGATACAAGGCTAGGCTTGTTATTAGAGGGGACATACATGTTGAGGGAGTGAATTTCAATAAGGCTTTCTCACCTGATGTAAAGATGTTTAATGTTAAGTGTTTGATTGTTGTTGCTGTTAAAAAGAATTGGTCTTTATTTCAACTTGATGTCAATAATGCCTTTCTTCATGGAGACTTAGAGGAAGAAGCTTATATGAGATTACCTCTTGGCCTGTATGTTTCTTCTTCTTCTTCTTCTTCTTCTTCTTCTTCTTCTTCTTCTTCTTCTTCTTCTTCTTGTAAACTGAAAAAATTACTTTATGGGTTGCATCAAGCTTCTAGACAATAGTATGCCAAGTTATCTGAGGCTCTTTATTCTAGGGGATACCATCATTCCCTCAATGACTACTCCATCTTTATCAAAGGGTCTCCAGGTAATTCAGTGGTATTAACTATCTTTGTTGATGATATCATCCTCACGGGTGATGATTGGGTTGAAATATCAGCTTTAAAGCATTTTTTAGATGATAAGTTTAAAATTAAAGACTTAGGTTTTCTACATTATTTTCAGGGCATTGAGGTTACTTCTTTCCATGATGGTGTTCTTTTAAATCAAAAGAAATTTGTTTCTGATATGATAAAAGAGTTTGATTGTTTGGGGGTCAATTAAGTTGCTAGTCCCCTAGAGCTACCCCAAAGCTCAAGGCTACTGAAGGTGAGGTATTGCCTTCTCCTGTGATGTATAAAAGACTCATTGGCAAGTTGCTCTTTTTAACTCATACTCGACCTGACATCTATTTTGGGGTTGAAAATTTGAGCCAATTTTTGACACTCCTAGGATACCTCACATGGTTACTGCTCTTCACCTGCTTCGGTACCTTAAGGGCACACTTGATTTTGATTTATTTTACTCTAACAATCTTGATTTCTCTGTGAAGGCTTATACTGATAGTGATTGGGCTGCTTGACCTGACACTCGCAAATTTTCTTGGAAGACAGTATTATTGATTGGAAGTCCAAAAAGTAGCCTGTGGTTTCTCTATCATCTGTTGAAGTTGAATATCGAGCTGTCCGTCATGTGGTGGCTGAATTAGTTTGGTTATCCCGACGGTTACATGATCTAACAATCCATGTCTTTTTTTCTGTTTTTGTCTTCTGTGATAACATGGCAGCTCTTCATATTGCGAAGAACCCAGTGTTCCATGTGCGTACAAAGCATATCAAAGTGAATTGTTACTTCATCAGAAACAAGTAAGCTGAGGAGTTCCTCCGGTTGTCCCATGTTTCCACCTCCAACCAACTTGCGCATGTCTTCACCAAACTGCTGCCTGGGGTCCTTCATCATAGGCAAGTTGAAGGTGGTTTTACCCTCCAACTTGAAGGGGAGATGTTGGGCCTTCAAAGAAACACACTTGAGTTGACCCATTTCTTTATTTGTTCTGTAAATAAAAGTCTTGTATAGATAGCCATTCTTTATATTGTATTAGAGTTAGCCAGATTTAATAGCTTAGTCTCGATATTGTTGTATTAATTTGTAAACATTGTGGATCGGGTCTAGTGGAGTATAAATAGTTTTAGGTCCAACTGTATTCGATTGGCCGACCATTTTTGTTATTTTACTATCTCGTTTTTATCTCTTTTCTCTCTGATAAGAAACATCTAGAAGCCCTAACTTCCATTGACAAATCCTTCGATTGAGCACATATCTTCTGTGTTATCATATTGAGCATGAAGTTTAAAAAATTACTTTTAGCCCTTGTGATAAAAACAAGTCATAAATAGTTACATAGTCATGAATCATCTCATTATAAAGAGTAAAATGAAAAATATGAAGTTAATATGTTTCTAGATAAGGACTTATAACATTATTTTTGGGACAAAGTAATAAAATGTGACACATAAATTGAGACAACAGAGAATTTAATTTCGCTGCATTCATGTTCTTGTCATTGATAAATCATATTTACTTTTGATCCCAATGAAGCTCCATCCTTAAGTAAAATAGAGGATAACTTTAAACGATAGTTGAAAGTAAAGAAGAAATAAAATTAGATGTTTTCCTGAAATATTTTAAAAAGTGAAATTCACCCAATTCACATTGGTGCTACGTTAACGTCCAAAGCAATTAAAATGGCTTGCTAATAGGAAGGGTATCAATGGATGCAAAGTATAACGGAAGGTGAAATCACCGTATTTCATTCAATAGATGATTAATAGCCGGTTTGGTCAAGCTTCTCCAAAGTCCAAAGTTTTTTTTTTTTTCAAAAGAAGTTCTTTTTTTTTCAAACTTGAAGTGTTTGGTCAAATTTTTTGAAGAAAAAAAGTATTTTTGAGTAGAAGCAAAAAAAAGTAGCTTCTTCCCCAAAACACTTTTCTGAACAACAGTTTTGAAGAAAAATATACTTAGAAGCACTTTTTAAAAGCTTGGTCAAACACTAACTGCTGCTCAGAAGTGCTTTTTAAATTAATTAGCTAAACACAAACTGCTCCTCATCAAAAGTATTTTTGAGAAAAATACTTTTGAAAAAAAACACTTCTCAAAATAAGCTGATTTTAGAAACTTGACCAAACAGGCTATAAATTTGGACATTTTCCTTTTTGACATTACTTTCGTGTTTTCCAAGAGGACCATCTGGGTGGCTTAAAACGGGTTGGTTATAGCCCGGGACAGACCCACATGGGGATAAGTGGGTTTAACTGAACCCGATTCGTCAAAAAAATAATATTGTATATATATAAATTACGGCTAAAGTAAGATATATTTTGTATAGAAATTATATTTGAACCAACTTGACAGAAACTTTGCGCTTGCAAAAGTGGTCAAGCGGGTTCAAAGTATTGATGAGGGTGTGTATTCAAATCTTTTTCATGTTTTGTGCTTATTTTATTTTTTTATTTGTATAAATTGCAACAAGAATCAGGAAAGGAAGCAAACCTATAAAGACAGCAGCATAGCCTAATATAACTGTCTTTGCAATCAAATCAAATTATTTTCCTTGTAGTATATATTTTCCCGTTTTCTTTATTTAATTTTATAGTTTATATTGAAGTTTATTTTTGTCATTACCCAAAATTCACTAAGGGTCGTAATGGCGCCAGACACACTGTCAAGTAAGCCAACACCAAGAAGTTAATAAAATTTCAATTTTAGTATTTGTTGAAATCATTTTCTTTATACATTAAACAATAAATAATGAAATACACCGAAATAACTATAAAGTTTTTAACAAACTTAATTTTTGTATAATCCCATAATCATCCCAGAACCCGGTGTCACAAGTGCATGAGCTATCTCTAGGAAGCAATATAATATAACAACCGTCCGAAATACAAAATTGGATATAAAGTAAATACAATAATCTGAAAGAAACTCTGCTAGTTGCGGGTCATTTTAAGAAGTGCAGCTCACTTAAGTCTCTGCATCAACCATGCTGCTACGCCCACTAGGCCACCAGAGATACATGTGCATGTGCAATAAAAATGCACAGCAAGTGTATCATGAGTACGAAAATAATGTGTACTCAGTAGGTATCTCGTCTAATCTCGAAGAAGTAGAGACGAGAGGTCGACTTTGACACTTAGTAAGGGTCCAATATTAATAATACCAATAATATAGAAAACCAGGGATTTTCATAAAAATAATTTTAAACTCAGTAGCATGAGGCAAGTAACCAATTCTTTCGTTTATAAGAAATTTTCAAATTCATTTTCATTATTTGTACATTTATCTTAGGCCAGGGAGAACAAATATCAACATCTATGAATCTCAAGGCAAGCAATACAAGCATGCGCAAATCATGCCGAGGTCATACGACCCGATCCAATAATATTTAAACTGTGCACTACCAGAGGGTCGAATGGCGCGAACCATAGATGCATCTATTTAATCTACCGAGGCGTTCAGCCTATTCCACAATATATAAACACATTCAAGCAGTCAATCAAGAACTCATCAAGGAGCAATTATCCAAGAAAAGGCAATTTCTCTTTTAAAAATCAAGAAACGATGACTAGTCTTTTAGAAATTCATTTACACGTTCGATGTGTTTTAAGCATTTTTAGATTGACAACAAGATTCCAAATATTACAAGTAAAGCATGCTTTTGGGTCTTAAACTACCCGGACTTAAGCATAATAGTAGCTACGCACGGACTCTCGTCACCTCGTGCGTACGTAGCCCCCACAAATAGAAGCCCATATCCAATTAATTTACCTACGAGGACAATTCCCTCTTACAAGGTTAGAAAGGAGATTCACCTCGCTCCGAAGCACACTTTTCGGTCCAAGATTATGCTCAAACCCTCAATTCGGTGCGGAACAATCCAAAACTAATGGATTAGTGTATAAACTAATCAATACATGTTCAAAAATTCATATTCCAACTATTAAGGTGATTACCCAACCCTAAATATAAGATTCCTAAAATTCACCTCTGGCCCACGTGTCCGGATTCTGGAAATTTTCAAAGAAAGTTGTTACCCATAACCTTATGAAATCAAATATATGGTTTTTACAAAATTCCATAACCATTTTCGTGGTCAAATCTCATTTTTATACAAAACCTAGGTTTTCATCTAAACCCTTGATTTCACCAATTTTTACACGTTAATCTATCCATAATCTATGTATTAAACTCATGTTGTTTAGAAATTACTTACCTCAAAGTGCTAGGTGAAAACCCTCTTCCAAAAGCTCCAAAAATCGCCTAAATCCGAGACTTAAAACT